CTGAACTTCCAAAGAAACGGCCCAGAAAAGCACCTCGCCGATTCTGCTTGTAACATGGGGTTTGTCAGAGTTTGCTCCTCCGGAGCTGCTCCGAGAAAACACACGGGAGACGTCCACGTATGGAGCCAAGAGTGGGAGCAGCCAGCCGAGACATGCCAAGATAAACACATTGACAGCAGGTTGACTTGTGATTATATGATAATACTCGAAGCTTTGACCATGCATTGATAACAACCAATTCTGGGTCAGGGCTGCTCGGATTTGAATCCACTTCAATCCAACGGGGTGGAAGAACCTCTGGCAGTCCTATTGGTTTGCAGGCCCAAGGGCCCCTTTCTACCCACCGTGATTGATTTAGTGGGCTGTCTCCATTTAAGAGGCTTTTTCCAATCTGACCCACTTCAAGAACTGGTAATAACTGGTATACGGCCACCTTCTCAGCTGCTTTGAGATCGGGGAACCAAGAGCGCCAAGTCACCGTCTCCAAGAGCAAGAAAACGCCAAGCTGCGGAGCTGAGCTGAGAGAGCTGCTGAGCTGAGCCGCTTCTGATGGGAGGCAATGGGAACATCTTTGTGAACATGCTCGGGGGTGTGGTCAATGAACCAGAGGCGCACCGTTTGCAGCACCGCTGCCGCACCCTTTTTTCTTTGTCTTTCGCTCGTGGAAGCCGCCGGTTACACAGGTCAGAGAGTTAGAGAGTCGGTGAGTCAGAGAAGGCCTGAAAAAGTACCTAAGCATCTAAGCTGTAGGGCCTCTGACGGGGTTGGGAGAAACGGATTGTCTGGAAAGGCATCTTCAATGTGATGAACCAAACCAATTCAGTATCAGATGGCACAGATCAGCACCTTTGGGTGCCAGGGTGCCATTGAAGAAACCTTTCTTTGTCGAGGCAGGATTAGCGAACCCCGTCTTCAAACATGTATTTGAACACTGAGAAACCTGGCAACATGTTCGACCCCTGATAAACCCGAGCCAAACAGGAAACTCCATTTTCCTACTTTGTTGTTCCTTGGCATTTCAATTTGTTGCTTGGTTTCTGGCAGTTGGAAGAATCTATCGTTGAAGCAAACATCCAGTGTTCAGGATTGATCGATTTCTTGTCCAAAGTCTTTAACCACAACAGTTCTTTGATAAACTACAAAGGGTACACAGCAAGGGCTGGACCCTCACCAATTCACAACACACCACGGAGCTCCTTCAATCAACTGGGTCCTTCCCCAATCTCTTGATTTCGCGAAATGAAAGAGTTTCATTTCACATGAAGAGCTTCAGGATGCATGGATCTGCTAGCAGATCTAGTCATCTAGTCTCAGACTTAGTGACCTTCAGGATTGGCACCTTTTGGATCCTTTCGGGGCTACGAACGCCACAAGGGCATCGCTACGAACAGAGCGATCGGACGCTACGAACGTGGCTCCTGGCCTTACTATTAGGAGCACTAACAAAGGGCATCGCTACGAACAGAGCGATCGGACGCTACTAACTAGTGGCTCCTGGCCTTACTACGAAGGGAGAACATTCCTACTATAGTTCATGCATCCGGAGTTGCTACGAAGGATCAACCACCCCGCTGACCCGCTTCCGTTCGACCGACCGTGGGACGGTCTCGGACGGTCCGATGCGTCCACAGCGTGTTGAACCGAACGAGCGAACCGGGTGGATGGATCGAAGCAGACGGGCGGGTCGGATCGAAGAAGCAGGCGGAGCTCGAGGTACAGCCTAGGCCTAGACGACTCGGTTTTTGGATGTCCTGGCTGATCCTGGTAGCTTTTGTTGAACGGTATGAAGAAGGGGCCCACAAACAGATCGGCTCGGCCGAACGGCACACCCCCTCAAGTCCGACGGAAGCTTTAGGCTGGTTCGATGCGTTTGTCTCGGCAGGTTTGGGGACTGGGATCGATCCATTTCGGATAGAGCGGCAGAACGGGACACATGGCACTGACATGGACTGAGAGGAGATGGCACAAGTTGCCCCAAGTTTGGTCGTCCAGGTGGACCCATTTTTTCAAGACATCTTTTCACCACGGTAATGTAGACTCTTGATTCATAAACGCTCCATATGAAGAGGTGTTTCAACTCAAATGGGGTGGTTTATTAATCAAGAGTCTACATTACACAAAGTTTCTTGGGCTCCAAGGCCTCAACTTGGCCCACTGGGAGTGTTACCTGTTGTTCTGAGGACTCCTTACAGTTTCCTTCTCGTATTAAATATTTTAGAACCTGTTGGACATACTCTCCCGTCTATGGGTACATACTTCAAGATGCAGTTTCAAGTTTCAATAATTACTCTCATACTTTACTCCCATGTCCATCTCTTCAAGATTATCAGTGCAGCAACAATATTTCAAGGGGCTTTCTGTCAGCTGAAGCTCGAGACATTTGAAAGTGGTTTAAAGACACATGAGGTTGACCATGTAAGAACATGATCATGTGCAGTGAGGTAGAAAACACTTCTTGAAGCCTGCATCAGACATCCTATGGTAGGTCCGTTCTTTTGCTTTGCACCGTCTGAGACATCACGTTCTCCGTTCTCCGGATTCGCGCTCCGTTCTCTCCGCACCATCCGCCAGGAGCACAGTTTGGAAGCATGGATTGCCATCGCGTGGATCGGTGCGAAAGGTGGCATCGACCTCTGGCAGGTCCGGTGACGTCTCTGGTGCGTTCTTCTTCCTTTCTTTTTTTGCGAAAAGCGCAGACAGGTACGCTGCGCCAATACGGTATACCGGTATACCACGAGGTTGTAGGTGCGTTCTTTCTTTTGTTTTCCTCTTTCCATGTGGCTAAGGCAGTAGGTTTGACTGACACCTTTCGATGCCGAGGAATTTAAAGAATTCCTGGTTCGCCAAGATGAAATCTCTTGAAAGATCAAACAAACAATGCAATTTTGAGCCGTTTTGTGATTCTGCTCGGTGTCCTTCACTTTCCGCCCGCGCTTACTGCTTGACTCCCCCGGCGCTTACTTGCTGCGAGGAGTGGCTTCAGTTCCGAGGGCTCTGCAAGATCGGCCGGACCTGGGACTACTTCGCCGTCGACAACCTGCACCTCGGGTCCGTTTCGGCGATCCGTTTCGGTCTGGACGTGTCGGACGCCGGAGAACGAACGGTGTTGGGGGGCGGAGGAGGTGGGTTGATTTGCACCGAACGGTTCGGTTGACGTCCCAAAATGCGTGCGCTGTTTCTGCCCAGGAAGCCAAATACATATACAATATTATACAATTATGGTTCAGGTTTTTCTCGGAGTATTTGGACAGCAAATCTACGTGTGCTCTCAGCATGTCTTTCACCGGTTGCCACCGTGCGGCCAGCTTTCTTAAAAAGACAGAGTGTTCGAAGAGTTCAGTCCCTAATCGGACTGGAAGAGTTACTTACATGGACCCTTTAAACATTTTAACCTCACCCCGATTGGGCGTTCGATTACTCATCTCATGGAGTGTTCGAGAGTACTCTAGGATCCACGGGATCGAACAAATTTCAAACGAGAAGCAAAGGTCCCCTGTTTCTGTATGAAGGTTCAGGTAGGTGGTCGACCAGGAATCTCGCTCCATTGCCTTGGTGGTTTTGTTTGTTTATGTTGGTTTTATTGCCACAGGGTTGTTGTTTTCGTTGTTGCTTTGATTTGTTTGGGGGAAGGAGGTCATTACCTTTCGGGAAGGTACTTGATGTGTTTCCAAAAAAAGAACTCATAGATTCAGAACATCATGATGTAACAAAGTGCTATTTAGTTCGGGCTTGAGACCCATGGAAGCAGATCACAACCATGTGGCCGTGGGTCAAAACCGGGCGGTCCGGGTGAACTGGGCTCCTCCTACCGGCCCGGCCGGTCCACCAAGTCCTGCACCTGGGACCAGTGTCGGCTTCCTTGATAAACAGTCGGATTCGTCACTGGGCTAGAGAATGTGACCTCAAAAGAGGGATAAAGCTACTGACGCGAGTTCCCAAATCGAAGCTTGCTAACACCTGGTAAAGCGGGTCAAGCGCGGCTTCCGACGCGTGCGGGGACGCCGTCTGGACCATGTGTGCCTGCTCAAACACATGTGGGGATATCATAGATTTCTGCACCCTGGGGTGATTTTTCGAGATCATGCCGTTCCGCTCAACAGTACGAAGGGATTCCCAGGATGGTGGAGGCATGATCAGGCGCAGGTTTGCATCCCCGAAGTTCTGGTACGAACTATGCCAGGACGTCATCCTTGACATCAGCACCCAGGGGTAGGCCTTCCTTCCTCTGATTTGGTGCTGAGTTGCATGGACAAGAGTTCTGCCAATTCCCACGGCATCTGAGGTTCGACATGCTCTTTTCCTCTCTGCCAGTGTCCCTCTCCTGATTCGTGTGCCTGCTGATTGGTGGGCGCAGGTCGTTCTACCCTCGTCAGATGATCTTGTTGTATCTTGTTGTAAAGAGCACCCCAACAACCCTGACCGCGGGCGCGTTGCAGTGCTGTTTTCGTAGGATTGCGACGGCATAAACCCAACATTGTAAAAGCATCATTAGCATTGACGGTACATTGACCGTTTTGGGAGACCAATGAAGGAGGGAGCCCTGCTTCCATGTCCAAATAGAAACAGAGTCAATGCATCCGCGGATTGGCAGTTGCTTGATGTCTGGCTCTTGTGTCAACAGAGAAGCACAGTACCTTGTGGTCTGCAGGACGACAATGTCCAAATTCAGTTGGATACTCAGAAGATACCTCCCAATTTCCAATGTTGTGGCATCGTTTGACCTAAATTGTCCCGTTGGTTTCATACCGGTCATACCGGTCATACCGTATCATGCCTCTGAGTTTGGCCAGATCAGCTGAGCTGCATTTCAGCTAGCTGAGGTTAGCTCTTAGATGTGGATGTATGATGATGTATAATCCCTTTGCACCGAACAACAGCCTTTCACACCTGCTTTCTTTGAAAGAGCACACCTCGCCGGCAGATCGCCACGTTTGTTGAACGGATCAGCACTTTCACTCGCACGATTCGCGCTCGGTGATTTGTTCATCGGCCGAACTCAGGTTCTTGTTCTTCAATCCTGGGAACCTGCTGGCCTGGTACTGAGTTTGGAATGGCTTTCAGCACTTTCAACTCTTTTTGGTGAGGGTCAGGAGGAAAGCGGACGAGATGGGTGCTCAAACAGTCAAACATCCGGTCAAGCATTGAGCTTCATACAGCTGGTGCACTCAATTTGCTTGTTCCAGCAGACGTGCCTTAAGGAATTCATGCCCCAAACTATCCCACGCTAAGACGTTTGTGTGTCTCAAAATGCATTGCATGTGTTTTAAAGACAAGTCTTGTTTTTTGACAGTATTTGAAGAGCTGATCTAGCGAAGGGTGAAGTACAAGCAATTCATCCCTAAGGCAGCGGATTCATTTGTGTTTGTTTTCTTTCTTTGTTTGTTTGGTCTTTTTTTGTTGTTTGTTTTTGTTGGTTTATTTGTTGTGTTGTGTTTTGTTTTGTTTGGGTTTGTATGTTGTTTTGGTTTGTTGGTTTGTTTGCTTGTCAATTTCCTCTCCACTAGATCTTGAACTTGTCGCTCTGAAGATGTTCATCGGGACCGCGGACGTCCGTCCGCAGCGTCTCGCGGTTCGCGGGGCCGCAGGTTCTGATTTGCGCCGTCTTCCTCTATTGGTGCAGGCGGTCGTGGGGCGGGTTTCGTGTCCGTGCCGGCTCCACCGGCGGAGCCGTAAGGAAGACGACGCAGAAAGGCGCACGCACTCCCTGCGCAGGATGCCCGACGGAACTGAGGTCACGGTCACAGGCCTGTAAGAGGTCACTGGATGGGACTCCAAGCAGGTCATGAACCGAAGAAGCTGGCACCTTCTAGTTATATATATATATAGAGATTCCCTAGAAGTCCAGTTGGACTAGCCATGTGAAGGAAATTCATGGACTCGAGTCACCTATATTATCAGATCCTTTTGTAAAAGCGTCGACTGGACTTCTATACGGCTTCGTTCTTTTTTTCTTTCCGGATGTTCACGAAAGGTATACAGTATAGCCCTCCAGGGGATACCTTGAGTTTGTCTTGCGAAGCAAGTGTGGGTTCCTCTTTCGTGTCTCCCTCCTCTCAAGTTTAGTTTTGACATTTGTCCCTTGATTCCTGGAACTGTTTTTCAAGTTGCAGGCACTGTGATCACTGAAGATGAGGCTTTCACCGATCACTAAGAGGGTTTTTAAGGATACTCACAGCCACAGCGATGAAAGTAAAGAGGTCTAGAAACTACAACATGAGGAGGCTTGCGCCCATGTTTCTATCATGACATGAGAAGCGTGAAAACGGCTCGGTTGTTGGAGTCGCAAATGTATCGAGTTGGGCCGAGCGGGCGGGGCCAAGTGGGCGGGCGCCGCAGCTCCAAAGACGGAAGAAAACCGCAGCTCCAGCGTTTTTGTTCTATGTCTACTCGGGCAGGCCCTGAAAATTTTGTCAGAATTCGGCAGTGTTTTTCCTTTTTTGTTTTTTGTTCCTTTTTTGGCTCCCAAAGAGATGGTTTTATGGATCTTATATAGATGGTCATTTTGGGTCCAGTCTTTAGAACAGCCCGGATGAGTTCTGCGCGGAACCTTCCAACCGTCCCACGCTCTCGCTGCTAGGGGTTTGAACAACAGGGAGTCACATGGGCGGAGTTAGTAACTTTAGCAGTCAGTCAGTCAGTCAGTCAGCCAGCCAGCCAGCCGGCCAGGCAGTCAGTCAGTCAGTCAGTCAGTCAGTCAGTCAGTCCGTCGGTCAGTCAGTCAGTCAGTCAGTTTCTCTCTAATCAGTAAGTCAGTCCAAAACTAGTCAGTAACCCAGTAGCTCTAGTCAGTTTCCTCGAGTCAGGAACTAATTATATAGCCAGTTTTTAGTTTCCTCTAGTCAGTTTCCTCTATATAGCACGTTTTCCCATTTGAGCAGTTCACCTCCTCCCCTAACGTGGTCGCTCGTTTTTGCCCGTCGCTGGTTCTTCGGTCGCCAGGTTGTTGGATTGTTTCACCTCCGCAGAGTTCATCGGACTGGAGATCTTGCCCATCCGGCCGGGGGGGGGTCCGTCCATGGCATCGGGGGGGGCCGAAAGAGACGGGGCGCGTCTCTTGGAGGCGTGCGGGGTCTCCCGCGAGACAGACGCGAGAGAGTGCGAGAAAGAGCTTTTTTGGGGTTCATGAAGTGAAGAAACCATGGCTCATGGATCCGCATGGAAGTTTTATCTCAAAATAAGACCAGTTCCTGTCCACCTTGTTTTCCTTCTCTGCACGATGCAGAAAAAAACCACGGTCAGAGGAGACGGAGGGGGTCGGACGTTTGCCGGTGCCGGTGGTGAGAAATGGATAGAAAGTGTGCCCAGGTGGCCCAGGACCTTCCCAGTGACCTCTTCAGGATTGGTAAGTGACCTTTTCAAGGCCTCTCTGTGACCTCATTCTCGGATCTCAAGTTCGGTCACTGGGAAGGTCAGGGAGGTACCTGTTCCCAGCACTACACAACTTCCAGGCAGTTGCTTTCACGCTCTTGGTACTTGGCGCACACACCTTGTACATGATTCAAATCCCCCTCTGGCTGCTTAGCCCCCAAAGAGGAGCACGGTCCCACCCAAATCCATCTCGCGTGCATGATCAGTTCTGGTACTGTACCATGATCATGGAATCTCTTCCCTAGCCTTGCAACCATCATTGATTTCGTGTTTCTTCTTCACCGAGCTACTATGTTTTTTTTCTACGTATTCTTGACTACAAAGCCAACCCTTGAATTGTCTTGGAAGGCAGATCGGGTCTTCAGGTCTTCATCCCTTCATGTCGTGCATTAGATCAATCCCATCAAACCCAACGGATCTGCACCCCCCATTCGATGATCTAGACATGGACCGTGTCCGTGAACTGAGCACTTCCCGCGCTTTCCACGATCGTCCGCGTGGGCGACCGGGCTTTACGCGGGTCCGCGTCGTTGCGCGGTCCGCAGGCAGATGGCCATGGGTTTGTTGCCGGCGCTCGCCGTGACGTGCGTCGCCTTTTGCGCCTTCACCCACGCGTCGCTCGGTGGCGGACCATGCGAAGCCCAGGTCAGGAAGATTCGGATCGTCGAGGGCCGTCTCCAGGGCAGCTCGCGGGAGTCGGTTTTGAGACCCTCCCGGAAACCCAAAGAACCAGAAAGAAATGGATGTTTCCCCAAAGACTAGAGCCATTTCCATCCATTTGTTACCATATTGGAACAACCATTTTGTTTCTGGTTGTTTGGGGTTCCAGGCTAGGACCAGTGGTTTTGTGTCCCTGGATGTCACTATACAGCCTTAGAAAGGCACCATTAATCCCTCACAATCCATGGGACTGGAATATTTACATTGATCATCTTTGACCCTGAAGACATTTTAACATCACCCCAATGTAGGCAACAATTCCGCACATGGACTGTTGGGAATGGTTCTATTCCTTTTTCACCGAAGGACTCGGTCCTTGACCTAAGGATTTCACCCTACCAAAGCGTCTTCTGGAACACCAGCGTCTTCTCGGTTCCGCCCGAGGGAGGGGGGACAGTCCGACGGCCCGATCCTCACGGTCTCTGTGTGCGGTCTCCGCGGTGTCGGAACGTGGACACCGACAAGGAGGGGTCGGCCGCCAGGCCGAACCGGGAGGCCAGCTTTATTTAGACTTGGGATCTATCCATAGATGGTGTGTATTCCAATAATTAGGGAGACAACCAATGGGTTTTGATCTGTTTTCCTTCTTCCAGGAGGTCTTTGGGAGGTCTCCCTCATGTGTCCGTACACAGTGCAACTGTGCAGCCATCAGCCATCGGACTGAGGTTTTATCTGGTGAATGGAGGGCCAAAGGCGAGCAGTGGGGCCGGAGGGGAAGACAGAAGGGCCGGATGGAAGGCCGCAGGGTAGGAGAGGTCCAAGAGGTGGATGAAGAGGTGGTGGTGAAGTCGGACAAAGACATGACTGGTGAAGTCGAAGAGGGACTATCACTTTCACCAGTCAGCGGACTTGAATCCGAAGGACCTCTATATGACCCTTAATATATATATATATGATGATCCTATTATGATTCATATGTACAAGGGCCACCTGGAACCCCAAACAACCAGATTGCCATATTGGAACCACCATTTGGTTTCTGGTTGTATTGGGGGTTCCAGGCATGACCCCCTCGTTTGATCCATGGGAGCCGCTAGCACGCGGGACCGGGAACCGGGTTGGACCGCCCCGCCCCCGTGGGTGCCGGAAAGCCGGTCCCGGGTGGCTGCGGGACTCGGAACTTTCCAAGTTCGGAGTGGTACGAAGTGTTGGACCACAGACGACCAGTGGCCTGCTCGTTTTTTTTTTTTGGGGGGGGGGAAATCATGGGTCTTTCGTCACATGGGTCTACTTCCGCGTGGTTCTTTCGTACCCCGACCCCGGCCCCGACCTTTTGCCCCTTTTTGATCGTGGCGGTGTTCAGATTAGTGCAACATTCAGGTTCTTTCGCTGCGAGAGGTCGCCTCCCCTCACCCTGTCCAACTGCCCACCCAACAGACTGTTGGTGAAGCTTGTACGTCCTCCGCATCAGATCCATGATGCATGATGCATGCAGGAGGCGGAGAGGCCCCGTGAGTTGATCTGGAGGCCCCGGGTACTAGGGCTTCCACGCAGTGCAGGTGGAGAGCATGGTGGACATCGTCTTCGAGACCTTTGCCACCTTGATCACTGCTGCCCTCCCGCCGGACATCAGCACCGGCACGCCGGGGAAGCTCAGGACTCACGACCTCTGAGGTGGCTTGAAGCTGGATTTGGGATGGGACTGGTGGGGAAGAATCACACCACGACAACGACTGGAATCACTGGAATCACTGCGAAAGAATAGCCGCCCCAAGTAGAGGGAGTCGTTTGTCCAACAGGACATCCACATCACTCTTGGCACAGCACCGAAGGTCTTTCGCAGTCAGACTGCAATTCCCGTTTCTGTTGCGCGCCTTGAAGATGCAATTCCTCCAGAGTAACGGCCTCTCTAAGTGCTCATGTGCCGAATTTGCTTGGTTTCCTTCAATGCTCAGGGGCAATCAAGTGAAGTTGATCCTCTGCATCCTGGCAGTGTCTTTCTTCACAGCCCGGCATCCCAAGATGATGGGCAGAGAACACCATTCGTGGAAGGATTGTCGTTCTTGGGGAAAAAGGGTGAGATGAGACATGCGCCACTGTTTGCATTTGTTTGCTTGCAGAACAAATGTAGGAGCACTCACAGGCTGACGGTTTTGGCTCTTTCTGAATGCCTCAGTTTTGGGACCTGTCCGTTTGGAAATTTGGGCAACGAACCGGTTTTCAGATGTAGGCAGTAGCCATGACGCATCCATGTTTGGAACTACCTCAGTCTGTAGGGCCAAGGAGATCATTACACTCATAGCCGCTGATTTAAACAGTCTATGCGACGATGCGAGAAGTTGCCCTCTCTCTCTCTCTCTTTATATACATAATGTATGTATATACATATACTTACACAGTCATCGTACCCCCAAAACACACAAACACACACAGAAACGTATACACACACAGGCACTCAGAGTCTGAATGCCACATGTCCAAACACCTAGGTGGAAATGGTTCAGTCAAAAGGAGTGCAAAGGTGTCCAACCATGGAAGGTAGTCTCAAAGGTCTCAAAGGTCATTGCACGGAAAGCGAAACACCTAAACAGCCTGGACGCGAAACGCTTGAGAGGCACGTAGCTACCAAACATTCACCATCAGCCCGTGATATCCGCATGTCACTGTGGCCGCTTCGTTTGCAGCACACGTGCGCAGCACGTGGATAGGCCCCCCTGCTAGCTACGAAACGAAAGGCAATGAACGCAAAGCCAAAAGGTTCCTTGTGAATCCCAGGGTTAACCCCCCTCAACACACACACACACACACACACCCCTTTCTGAAAGCACATGCATTTCTACGGGGGCGTCGCAAAATCCATCGATTAAATGGAACCTGGATCTGGAGGACCCGCCCTGCGCTTCCTCCTCGAAAAGCGTCATTTACTGCAGTACTTGAGTTGTTTGTAGAGTGCGATCTTCCAACTTCAGGGCCCTTCCATGAAGTTGCTAGAAAGGACATCAATGCCAATGCCTTTCCGTTCATGGGACTGGACTTGGGGATCCTCCCACGGCCGAACCTTTTTGAGGAGACGTTGATCAACATAACGATCCCCCCGGTGGGTTTCTTGATCGAAATACTTTGAATTTGGTCAGAAAAGGGTAATACCTCCGTCTTCTGAGGCCCCCCATGGCCCTAGTCTGTGAGTGAGGAGGTTTCCCTGGTAGGTGGACATGCCTGTTGAATGTTTTTCTTCCGCATTCGGAAATGCAAACCCGAATGGGTACCCTCTGCCCAGGTCTTCATTTTGAACATTTTCATTGGTGTCATGGGTGAGCTCTACGTGAAGGTGCGTCCAAAGGGCAACTGCAGTTGCAGGATGATATTGAATGTGGTGGGTCCACCTCGGGTGGACAAACCAATTTGCCTTTCACTGGATCCGGGATATTGTTGATGACGTGTTGCTAGGTGATCTTGAGCTCCTTCGCTAGGAAGAAATGCTGAGCGTACTGCAACATGGGTGCTCCTGATGTTGGTAAGATATCTTCCAACATTTTCCGAAGCCATGTAAAGGTCTCACAACACTCAAGGTGTGTAAAGCCTTGTAGCACGGTATCGTTTGCCATTTGTGTTTAAAAACTGGCTGAACTATGCTGAACTTATAAATGGTATCTATATATCTATGCTTATCAATTGGCAATGTCGTTTCAATTCTTCAAGTAGTGCATCATTCCTTTTGTTTTGCTTCAGCAATCTGGCCTGAAATAACTGAAGATGCGTACCACCGGTCTACGGTGGCCCACGGCCGAAACACACGATACGAAGCTACAAAAAGCCCTTTCCGAGCCTTTGGAGTTCTCATCGGAGAACGAGCCTGCAGTTGGGATAGGGATGGCTGTTCACGATGCAACAGGGAGCCACCTCTGACGCTTCTTGTTGTGGCTCCCTTCCTCAGGGAGCGAAGGGCGATACGGGGAGCGGCAGCGTCGAGTCCCTGGATCCCAACAGCGGCAACTGCTTGGGCAGTCACTCAGTGTATGTGGTACCTCCAGGTAGGGCCCCAGGTTTGGAGATGGGACGATCCGGCCCTTGTTTTGCAAGAACACGTAGTAGATCGTTTATGGAGGCAACTCGTAGATTTGGAAGATTCTGGGTGACCCAAGCCCCCCCGTTCTCGGCCGCCAAGCGGCCTGGCCGCGCCAGGAGAAGCAGCGGGCCGAGCACACCTTTCGGATGTACCGTGCCGGGTCATGTTGCTGGGCGTCGATGAAAACGTGTCAGGCCCTGGGACCTTTGGGAAGGTTGTGGCATTTTGTCTGGGCTGTCCTGTCGCGAGAACGTCTCCTTTTGCATTGGTTTTGTCTCTCTGTGTGTTTGCCATGCTGAACGTATTTTTTCACGTTCTTATTTGGCCGGAGAGGGCGGACAAGCGCTTGGGAAGGATCGTTGTGCTCGTCCACGCAGTAAGTTGTGGAGCTGACGTGTCTTGTGACACACTCAGCCGCAAATCTAGGTCACCTGCGGTACCACCTCATAGAACTGTATTGCACCCACTCAACCAGTCCCATCTCCCCCATCTCCCACTCAACCAGTCGCGGCAGATCATACCAAATCCATCCTGAAAGTGTGACGCTCTTCAGGAGATCCCCACGTGAATCCAGTGAATCATATAGCCTAGAGTCCTAGAGCTGAACATCCAATGGTTCCAAACACAGAACCATAGACCCCGGACCCTAGATCTATCCAGTTTCCTCCAAAGCAAGGGACTCCCTGCAATCCACTGGGACGCGGGCTGCGATCCACACGGTTCACATGCCGACTTGAGATGTTGGTCTGAACTCACGCACTGTTGGCCCTGAACCGTCCGTCGCTGTTGGACAAACACTGCTTCAGAGCAATGCCATTACTGTCGGTACATCTGCACCCATGAGTGCCGTTCAAAGCAACAAATCACTTGCAGTCACAGCTGAGGCTATCAATACCTGCTGCGAAGTCGAGTGCTTCAATGCCACTTTCTTCGCAACATGTGTAAAGTCCGGTCAGCTAGGTGCTCAATGCAGAGTGCTGTGCTGTTTATACAGGCAATGAACATCCAATCCGTTTTGTCGTAGGACCCTGATTTAGCTGACTATTTGGGAAACCAATGACACCAAAAATCCTTTGCATCAAATATCAGCAGTGCGCAATTAGGACTCGAATCCGAGCAGTTGGCCGGAGTGTCCACCACCTATAGTGATGTCGGTGACGGACGAAACCCTGTCGATCGTCAACAGTGTCTTCTGAGATTCCCTTTCCCAGTGGCCCCGAAGGGGCCCGAATCTTCATGGCTCCTTTTCCCCTAAGAACAAGCGTTTGACTCAGTTTGACCGAGGATTTTAGACTACAACCAAGTTTTGTCCCACACTGTAGTCTCCACACTCTTTGAATGGTCTTCTCGGTTTCGCCTTCAGCCAGGGCTAGAGGGTTCCGCTCCCAGAACGGAGCTGTGTGGAACGGATCTCGAACACAGAACAGACGTCAAGACATGTTGGAAGCACTAAGACCTTTTCTTTTGCATGGATGAAAGCAACGCCCTGCTAGTCAGCGTCTTTCTTCGGCCAAGTCCAAGCCATTGCACGGCGAAAGCTAAGCTCACGAAGAACGCCAAAGCCTTCGTGGTCACGCAAACCAATTGTGGTACTCTATTGGATGATTGGAAGCAAGTTTGGAAGCCAGATCATCAAAACGTCGCAATTGCGCTTCATCATGTTGCTCCATCATGTTGCTTGCACACATACACACACACACACATCTTCAAGTCCGAGAAGAGAGAGCTGCCCCCAGGTCCGGTACCCCTCGGGTTTTTCACCACGTCCGGCTAAATGAGGGGCTTCCGTCTGCTTCCAGAGCGGTGCCTTGAGTCTGGTGGAGTCGGCAGGTGGAGCTGAGAGTCGGCACACTGACCAGAATTCCAAGGCATTCTTTTTACATGGTTCAGCTTGTTTCGTAGTGTAAGAGTCCTCAGTAAAACACCACGGTCGTGTTTTGGATTGCTCTTCAATCAATGGTGGGTCGGGAATCCTAGGGCTGCTCCGAGGCAACTTGATGTCTGCCGACAGAGGCAGGAGCCGAAAAGAGACCGCGCCGGTGGAACTGTGGAAGAGTTGTTGAACATGTTGAACTGTGAAATCATGGGAGCTATATGGAAAGCTCATTGCATCGGGACACCTTCCGCGATTCTTTTTTCTCCCCCCCAAATCCCGCTACATATCAGGGCATTTGGAGCTTCCTTGTTGAGTCTTTCTCTTGTCCATGGAGTGGTCAGCAAGGCCTCTCACTTCTCATCTGTCGCGACTGCCCTCAGTCAGGCCTCTTGTTGATGCTGGTCTCGGGTTGCGTGGCGCTCACGGTACAGAGACTTGGCCACACACAAGGGGGTATGGGGGGGGCGTTTTTGGCGAGCGCAGAGGTCGAATCGGGCGAAAAAAACGAGAAGCCAATTCGGGTATGCAGCAGTTTGAGCAGTTCCAATGTTGACAAACAGTTGAAGAGACACCAGACCCGAAAGATGGCGTTCCCTTGTCTGAGGGATTCAGGACACAGAATTGGTAAACAACCCCGAAAACACAAGAGCTTGAATTTGGGCAACGAAGCTTTGCTTCACGTGAGAAGATGTTCTTTTTCCTCATTTCCAAGAGCTTCCTTTGGGTAATGAATCTGTTTTCTTCTCGTGAGAAGATGCTTTTTGTTTCTTCCAAGAGCTTCCTCCGGGGCGGAGATCTGAGGATGTGTGGGCATGTATTTTTGTGCTCATGTCTGCAGGTGGTCCCACCCTACCTACTTGAGCGAGAGTCCGAAGAACGTGCCCGACTTCTGGGGGGTCTTCTTTAGTCGTCCAACCCCAAACCATCCATGGAAGTGGAAGCGTTACTTGAACATCCGTCAATGTAAGTAACTATTTCATCATTTTCCACGCATGGATGGTCGGAGTCTTGGTTTTTTACTCATGTGTGATAGTAGGTTTGGCCTGAGCACACCAACGACAAGTCCATAGATTTCCATACATGGGTGGAAATGGTGCTCGCACAGATTTGGGGCAAGAGGATGGCATATGATTCCTGGCACATCATTGATTTCATGGTTTCTGCACAACAAGCTTTGTTTTACTATGATTTTAGACAACATCAGTGTCAACCAAAGCCTTTCAATGGTCAAACTGGAAGGCTAGGGTGATGTCATGTTCGATCTCCTGACGGGAATCCATGAGCAGCTTCGTTCCACCCAGGATTTTGGGCTTCATCAACCACGAGCAGCAGCTTCTTCCGCGCTTGATCAAAGGGCAGAGGTGGTAAATGGTTGGACCCAGCCTTCGTTCAGAGGTCGAGAATGTGAGATTTGCAAGTGCAGGGGTAGGCATCGTAGGTGCCTTCTCACCCAGAATACATATACGTGCATACATGCATTTATACACAATGTCATATGTATTATACTGATACTATTTATTAGTTATATAGTTATATTATATGATGCATGCATTGACCTCCAATATCACAACAATATTTGTGTTATGTTGCTATAGTGCACGATCAGCCTATCATCAACCAGTCCAAAGAATGTGAGTTTTCATAACCAGATACATGGCCTAAAGTGTGCATACAACATCCTGCAACCTCATTTGCTGACATGCAGTTCTTGGGAGGTGTGTTCTGCACAAGGCTATACCCTATAGCCTTCCAAGACTATCTTTGGAATGGTTGACCAGGCTTTTATGGTGTAAACTCCTTGGTCAAACCATGGTGCTTCGGGATTCAGGACTAAACCTTCCGGGTAGGCGATTGGGCCCCCCCGCCTCGGAGCGACCGGTGGTCGGGCTCCGCACATGGAATGAGGCGTATCCCAGGGACGAGCATCATCTTCTTCGTGTGTCAGGCGCGTGGCGAGAGTTTTTCTCCTTATGTTTTTTCCGACCGGCTTCAGTTTGTGGTCCAGCATGGGTTCGGTGGAGAGCGACAGGTGGACAGGTTTTTGGACTGGGGACGTTGAAGCCTAAAAACATCCTGAGCCCTGACAACGCAAAGGTCTCACGGCGTAGCTAAGCAGGGGGCTAGTGGCTAGTGGCTAAGGTTTTGGCACTTGGGGAGCAAGCAACAGAATCAACTGTACGGTACATGTATGGTCTGGGCTTGTTTGGTGTATCCTCAGATAAAGATTCGGGTAAAGGCACGAAGAGGGCGGCCAAGGAGTTTCTGCGCATGTGCTTATACAGTTTTTTGGCTTGTCCGGAGAACGGCCACACTGACGAACAATAAATGTGGAACCTCCAGTGAATCAAAAGATGGACTTGTCTACCAAGACCCAGTAAGGCCCTCTTTCAGAAACCTTGCGAGCTCAAGGATCAGTGTACCCAGGATCAGCCTGGAGCAAATGTCGGGCGCAGTGAGGAGTTCATGTAAGTCAGACTTCCAGGCACTTTGAGCTGTTCTCTGTACTTGTCAGGCTGTGGCTGTTTACTGCCTGGTCGCAGCTATACCCCTAGAAGTCCAGTCGACCATTTTCAAAAGGGTTGAGGCGGTTTTCTAGTGTAAACATCCTTAGTAAAACAATGGATGTTAGGGATTTTCAGGCTAATCAAAAGGGTGGCCACGACGGCCACGAACTCGATAAGGCTTCACAGGCAGGCAAACCGACCCGGCCGGGCGTGACTCTGTGGAGAGAGACCACAGCTTCTGGCCATCAAGTTACGAGGCCGACCAATCAAGTACCAGAGGCCCCGGGGCCCGGGGGTGTCTAATTATAGCTATTAGAGGCTAAGGGGTATCCATTAACCACCCCTCAGAGGGCCCTGGTAGTTGCTCCATCAAGTAGTCACCTATTTTGCTTGTGGCTTGTTCCCAGAAATCGCAGGGACCTGACAGGTCAGTCAGGGAGCTGCTGAAGTAGTTGCGCTTCCAAGTTCAGTCTTCAAAAATGATCCACCTGCTCCGGAACAGTCACAGTGAACCCCCCCCGCCCAGACCCCTCCGCCAATCTCGGGTCCTAGCGCCCCTCATCACTTTCGGAACGGAGGCTCCGGATCTTCACGGTTCGATGTCCACCCGGAAACAGCCCACCTGGGCCGCACACCATGGGCCGCATGGCCGACTGACGTTGGTCGTGACGGCCGTGGGTGGCCGGTCATCGCCCCAGGCGTTGATTCTCTTGGGTGCTTATCAGAGCCCCGACACTCCTTGGGCTCGGACGCCCCAGTCGCTGTCGAATACGGGGGCCGTCCGGGGCACCGTTTTTCGGAGCAGGTGCTGAAGACGGAGCCGGAAGATTGGGGTGGAGAAGAGATGAGAAGAGTGATACACACTTACTACTCCTGTACTCCTGGTTTAAGAATCATGGTGGAAGTGGAGTGAGTGAAGACCACCTGTTGAACAATTTGGATTTCATGGTCATCCACTCCGGGGCCATGGTCTCCACGTTGGCCCATGATGGATTCCTACAAAGTGTACCTTCCTTTTACTCGGGGCCACGGTTTGGTTCGGGTCAGAGGGCTCAGGTAGATGTGAAACATCGAGGAGCAGTGCTGCTAGTGCTGGTTCGGGTGGGCTCTTGAGAGGCTGGTTTTCGAGTTCCGCAACGCGGTAAATGTTGCGAACAGAATTCCAAGAAGCGCAAAAGACCGGTGGAGGAGGTTCAAAGTCTGTAGTGGGGAAATGCGTGAAGATTATAGGTTTTTGTAGCTATTGTCATTGTCCTTTATATAATTAATCTTACTTGATCGGAAGCACCTTTGAAGCGACCCAGGACGTGGATGAAGTTCTAGCTTTTCGCTTGTACACACTTAGACAATTGAATTTCACTTAACTCAATTCCCCGACGAAATGGGTGAGGGGACGGAATG